ATTTATTTATTTATTATGTGTACAGCATTCCTTCCATGTGTGCCCGCAAGCCAGAAGGGGGCGCCAGGTCTCATTATAGATGGCTGTGAGCCACCATGTGGTTGCTGGGAATTGAACTCAGGACCTCTGGAAGAGCAGTCAGTGCTCTTAACCACTGAGCCATCTCTCCAGCCCGGAACAAAACTCTTGAAGGGAAGGTGGGACGCTGTCTTAGAGTACAGGTAACAAACGGGCAGCTAAAACCCTAAGGGAAAGTGGGACGGTTTCTAGAGTGCAGGGAACAGCGTGCGGGGTGCTGCCAAAGGGAATGTAAGCTTATGCTTTACCCTGAGCTACAAGGCCCGGGCAGAGGAGTTCACACTGGCACCCACACATCCTGCTGACAAAGTGACTAAAAGTCAGCCTTTAGCTAAGAGCCCCAGCTGGTCGTGCACGGATGCAGGCAAACTGGCGGCAAACTGGGGAACACGCAATAGCCCAGACCCGATACAGAACTCTCTGGCCACTGGGCTATGAGGAGATGGTCAGGGGTTGCAGGCTCCTGTGGCTACAAAGCCATGCATATTTTCCTGATTTTTTTTCTCTTAAAAAGGAAAGTCAATCTCGGAAGTGGCAGCAGATTCCCTTCCTTCCCAGGGGTGCAACCAGCCTGGGCTCAGTCTTACAGTAACTCATAGCGGTCTCCTTCACTGTCATACTGGACACAGCAGATGAGGCTACAGCACCTCTTCTTAAACAAAAACATCAGAACATGGATCACATAAAACCTCCTTCTAAATATTAGGAACTTATGCACTTGTATGACTTGGAAAGAAAATGTCATTAGAGTTTATGTAAGATGGACAGATGACTTACTTTAATAGCGATGTTAACAGAAACTTCCTGGATGTTAGCAAGTGATGGGTACAGCCTCCCTTGGGCTAACTCTGCATCGGTCAACTGACTTGTCAGTGCCTGAAAGAAAAACCAGTATCATATTTTTGTTTAAACAGAAGAATCTAGTAAAATGAAAAAAAAAAACATTGGAAAACCAAAATATTATAGACAAATAGAATTTTTATTTCTTGCAAGATTACACTAAACCAATGTAGAAATTAAAACCGCTCATCACAGCTGTGCATGGTGGGACACACTAATCTCAGCACCCAGAGGCAGAAGCAAGTGACCTGTGAGTTAGAGGCCAGCCTTGTCTACACTGTGAGTTCTAGGCTAGCCAGGACTACACAGTGAGAGCCTGTCTTAAAAATTAAAGTCAGAAAGCCCCATTCAAATACAACAGAACCGAAACAACTCTGTTCACCACTAAGCAACCAATAAATAACCAGATCTAAAGACTTCATGGTATACTCTGCTTCTGCACACAAAGCTGCACGCAGTAACGGCTAGGAAGAAAAGACATCAGCACGAGCATTAATGCGAGGTCTTCAGAATCCCCGCTCGAATGTGGTGCTCCATGAAGAATGCGGAGGAGTTACATTTTGTCTCTGCTGTCACAGCATCACCTTCAGACGCCAGACCATGTGAGACACAGGCACAAGTATTATAAATATGAGCTGATTCACAGCTTATAATCAGACATTTGAACAGTTATGATTTTAGCAAGTAAACATAATACAAAAGCAGAAAAATAAAAAGCAATGGATTGCTAACTTCCTTTTCATTCATAAGGATAGTTAATCCACTCTGGTTCTAAGATTCATTCACCTCTATCACCCATACTTTATACATCAGCAATATTTAAACATTACCTTTGCAGCTTCCAAGAAAACACTGTCACTGATGTGCCGGGTCTGACAGAGAATAACTGCTAAAGCCACACCTAGAATATACATTACGTAGTTGATTTAATAAGGTCACTTTTCAAATTATGAAGGGTTCAATTCCTAAACCGAAACAGTCCAAGAGAAAGCAAAACCAAACTAAAACGAAAGTAAATGATCTTTGTTAATGTCTACTTCTTATTCGTTAACAAAATCACCTTAGAATTAAGTGACCGTCTCAAATTTTATTTTACCCTTTATCAACATAGCAAATACTTACAGGTTTGAGTCAGGGCCTACCTCAAATCCTAGTGCTAAAAAATGAGAGCAAGCAAAAGAAAGGCAGGGAAACACAGACACACGGGGGAGGAGGGCTGGGGGACTGGGTGGAGAAGCCCAGAAGAAACACCAATGTCACACAAAACTGCGCACTCTAACCTTTAAGGAAGGCAGCAAACGACAAGGCAGGCCCAGGCCACCTCGGCCCGACAGGACCAGCCGCTGCCAGCTCCTTCAGCTCATCACCTCACTATTCCTGAGCTTTTTTAAAAACAGGCTATCAGAGAGCCGCGATTCCTCCGGACCAAACACAAGCATCCTGCCCCCTCCTATTTCCAGGCTACTCTCTCTGGGTCTGGTCTACACTGTGATTTTATAAGTGTTGCTCAGTACCGGCCATGTTCATGTCATACTGGGGCTACTTCCTCTTGGTATAAATTTCCCTTTCCCCACGTTTACCGTTCTGTTTGTCCCGTTACTGTGATCTTTAGTAATTAACATTATTTCTCCTTGGACCTCTTCTTTAGTTGTCCGATCTTGTATTCTAGCATCCCATTTATTTTCTGCACAAATCTTCGCAGCAGCCCTCTTAGCTCAGCTGATTGTCCACCCTATCATTTAAGGGCTGTGTTTCTTTGAGTCCATTTACAAAACCCCCTTTCCTAGTCTTTTGTTACTCTTTCTTCGAGCAGGACAGATTTTCCCCCGGTTGTTCTGAGAAACAGCTGATGGGAAATACATTTTTTTGTTGTTGTTGAAACTCCACATTACTGAAATATGTATGTTTACCTATTTTCACTCCTCTGGGCTCGGTTTGAAAACAGCACTGCATCTCCTGGCTTCCAGCTTTGGCCTAGGGTCTGCCTGTTTGGGCATTGTCTTTTCATCTCTGGAAGCATGGAGATCTTTGATTCTGATTTTGTAACTGTGTCTTAGATATGTTTCCAAACCCACTGTGTCTGACACTCACTGGTAAGCCCCTCTGAGCCCGCACCTTTCCACTTGGAGAAATGTTTGTCTTTGATGCCACACTCCCCACCCCTACCCTGGGTTTTTTTTTCCCCTTTCGTTCTGAAATTTCTATTTTCTGAACTCGTACCTCTAGAGATGACACCTAACTTTATTCTTTATTTGCTATCTCCTGTTCCAAATTAATTTTAAACGGGCTCCCTCAACTTTTTTTTACTGTAATTTTTCTGCTATCAACTTATTTTCAAGAATTTATTGTTTTCTAATTTGAAATCCTATCTTGTTTTGAAATAAGTCTCTCTATGAGGATATTTATAGTTCTTTCAAAAACTTTCCCCACAGACCTGTTTTCTTCCAAGATGTCTGTTTTTGTTTAAACACTGCTTTGGTCTCTTATGACAGCAATCATTTTTTAAAAAAAATTTTTTACGAGAGACTTTTCTTAGATAACTCTGGAAGAGCAGCCAGTGCTCTTAACTGCTGAGCCATCTCTAGGCCCCAAAGTTGAACACCCTTCTCTCCCCCTTCCCTCCGTTAGAGGTCCAGCTCACTGTAATGTAGACATTTAAGCATCTGAGGCTAAAGCTAGTGCTTTGTCTTGTATTTGTCTATGATTCCTTTTTCCCCACTGCTTTTGCGTGTTTTGGTTCTGTTCTTTAACTGTTGCATTTTATCCCCCACTATTTCCTGTCTGGAAATGGCAAGTTTCCTAGTATCCTGGTGACCATCCCCAAATTCACAGCATGTGTTCTCGCCACAAGTTTCCATTAGTTTAAAATTCATCTTCCTGACAGACAAGGGAAATCCCTTCCCACAGGTCAGGTCTGTTTAACTGAAAAAGCATCGTTGTCCACTGTGTCTC